GGGCCGCGCTCCTCCTCCCCTGCCAGCTCACTGGAGAGCGTGGCCTGCTCAGAGCAGGGCCCCGGGCCTGGCCTCTCCCCACTGGGCCGGGCCTGGGGAGCTGGTGGGCTGGTCTCGGGGAGAAAGCCCTTGGCACATCCGGGGCACTGGGGAGGCCGCTGCTGCGTGTGCAGGAGCGGGTGGCTGGGAACGGGCCCTCCACAGTCAGGGCACGGCGAGGGGTCCTGCCCTGCATGGGTGGCCAGGTGAGTGAGAAAGCAGTGCTGCAGGCAGAGGCTCCTCCCACACTCCTGACGGGGGCGGTGTCCCTGAGGGGGGCTCTGAGGTTGCTGGGGGTCGGCTCCCGGGCTGAATGGCTGCCAGGCCCTGTGGGGCTGGTCCTGGGAGTGGCTCCTCTGGTGCTTCTCTGAGCAGGTCTGCTTCCAAAAGCTTTCCCCACACACAGGGCAAGCCAGCGGGGTGCCTTCCCAGCAGGGGGTGTCCTGAAAGCCCGTGAGGCCCAGAGTTCTGGGACTTAGGGTTCTATCCCTTTGGGTGGGCTCCCTGCAGCTGTGGATTACTGGGAGGGGTGCGCCTGCGTCAGGTCTGTGGAGATTCAAGAGGATGCCACCGCGGTCAGGTCTGAAGGAAACATCCTCACTTCTTCCTCCCGAGGGGTCTGAGGAAAGGCAGCACTGAAGGGGGTCTACTTGGAAGCGGCACTCAGTCTCTCCTGAAGTCACAGGCTGCTGGCATCCTGAAGCTGAAACAAAATTCAGTCAGCATTCCTGTGCCTGGATGCCTAAAGGCCTATGTTCCCAGTAAAGTGACCATGACGGTGACCCGTGGTGGCCTGGGAACCCCCACGGCGCACAGGCGGGCGCACTGCAGCACGGCTGGACTGGTGCCGGGAGCCTGGTGAGAGTCTGCTGACCCGCGACGGAACAGACAGCTCTCGGAGTAGCCCTGGAAAGGGGGACGGCAGGCGACGAACGAGGGCCTGAGCTCCGGGGGTCAGGTGGTCAGGGAACCAGTCTTATCGGCCCACTGTGCCAACTGTCACGCTGACCTTTCTTCTGTACCTTTTCCGGCAAACAGGTGAATTCAGTGTGTACAGCGTTTGGCACGAGCCTGGCATAGCGCTCACCTGCGCCCTGGCCTCCGGAGCACTGGCTCTCCAGTCACTGCCCACATCGCTGCCAGCAGCAGGCCTGGACACCAGGCCTCTGCAGACCCGTGCGCTCCCCGAGGAGCCCCCAGCAAGGCCTGACACTGCCTCCTCCTTCCCCGCTCACACTGATGTTTAAGGAAGGTGACTGGGAAGAGTTTAATGACACGGTAAAGAGGGAAGTAACTTGTAGAGAAAACCCACACTCCAGAAAGAAGCTGCTGAACAAACTCCGGACGAGGTGTTTGGAATGATGCTCCCTTCTGATGTTCCCATTTCATATGTTAACACTGACTCCTAAGAATCCCCAAATCTCAGACCTCCCATCCATCATGACAGAAAAACCAAAGAGCTAAGTTTTAGTCATTCAAGTAGAGACCAGACAGGAAGGACATGCTGTGGTCCCAAGCATTTGGGTAAGGGTTTCTCACTTTCCCAGCCCACTACTAGGAAAAGTCCCATCTGCTAAGCTCTAAGGTGTCACTTCAACGCTCCGCATACACGCACCCATTTATGCTACAGATCGGGACACTGAACCTGAGGCGGAAGGACTTGCCCCAGGTCCCCCACACAGGGTCCGGGCTCAGCCTCCAGAACCCTCGCTCCTAACCACTGCGCGCTATGGGCCTTCTCCAGAATGTACAGATGTCAAACCCAGCTAAGAAGGAAGACAAGTCACTGAACTAAGAAACCCAATGTGGGGCCTCCCTGCTGGCCTGGGGATTAAGTCTCAGCACTATCACCTCCATGCCTGAGTTTACTCCCCATGACCCCCAGGGTGCAGCAGACCCCTCCTGTCTCCCCGCTGCTCCCCTCAGCAGTGGATTTCAGTCCATCTGCCTGTTATGCTTCCCACTCTGTCTCTGGTGAGTCCTCTCACCCCCTGACCCCACACCTCTGGCCTACATCCAAGTTCTTCTATGCAAAAATAATTATTTTTTAATAGTTTATTTTTACATCATTTTGTGCCTTTTTCCATTCAGTTGTAATCCCCGTGGGCTTCCCATCACCAGATCACCCATGTGCCCTCACCACAGTCCCGTGCACTCCCCCACACCCATTGCAAAAATACTTTTTAAAAAACAGCCTGAATGTGACACCTTAAAGATATATATTTGTTAATACCGATTTCTTGATACTCACCCCAAAATAGCTGTCTCTCAATAACTGGATCAAAATGTTTGTCAGCAGAGAAACAAATTATCTTTCCCGATTTCTGGGACTCGCTCCAGTTCCTGAAAGGTTCTCTCCCCTGTTCAATCCATGATATTAGTTCTGGTTTGGGAAGTCCCCCGTCTGCACAGAAAATCAATGAGATAGAATCAAGAAGATAATCTAGAAATTAGCTCCTACATTTACGGTCAACTGATTTTCCAAAAGGCTGTCGACAAAGGGAAGAATGATCTTTTCAACAAATGGTGCCAGGGCAACTGGAACGCACAAGAAGCCTGAAGCCTGACACACAAATTAACTCTGAAGGGATCAAAGAACTAGATGAGAGGGTTAAAATATGAGTGAATCTTGGCAACTTTGGAACAGGCAACGGTTCTCTAGCTATAACACCAAGAACTCAGGAGACAAAGGAAAAAATAAACTGGAATTCATCAAAAGTACAAACTTTTTTTTTT